TCCGATTAATTTCTTTGTATTTTTAGTAGAGACGGGGTCTCGCTCTTGCTCAGGCTGGTTTCGAACTCCTGAGCTCAAACAATCCGCCTGCCTTGGCCTCCCAGAGTGCTAGGATTACAGGCGTGAGCCACTGCGCCCGGCCACAAGTGCAGTTTTGTTACATGGATATATAGTGTATGGTGTAGTGGTGGAGTGGTGAAGTCTGCACTTTTAGGGTAACCATCACCCAAATAATGTACAATGTACCCATTATTATAATTTCTCATCCCTCTCCCCCCTCATCCTTCTGAGTCTCTAGTGTCTATCATTCCACACTCTATGTCCATATGTACACATTATTTAGTTTCCACTTGTGAGAACATGCAGTATTTGACTTTCTGAGTTGTTTTACTTAAGATAATAACCTCCAGTTCCATCCATGTTGCTGCAAAAGACATGATTTCATTTTTTTTTATAGCTGAATAGTATTCCATTGTATGTATATGCCACATTTTCTTTATTCATCCGTTGATGGACACTTAGGTTGATTTCGAATCTTTGTGAGTGTAAACAGCACTGCGATAAACACACAAGTACAGGTGTCTTTCTGACACAGTAAGTCATTTTCTTTTCCAGTAGTGGGACTGCTGGATCTAATGGCAGTTCTGTTTTTAGTTCTTTGAGAAATCTCTATACTGTTTTCCATAGAGGTTGTACTAATTTACACTCCCATTATGTATAAGCGTTCCAAAAAGGTAGTTTTAATTAACCTATATTCATTGCCACAAATGAAATAAATTGTAGAGTAGGTAAAGCTAGTCTGAGCATCATTTCTGTCTCTTTTTCCTTCTCCTGCCCCCTCCTTCCCCTCATGGATACTCAATGCCACCAGGCACTGTGGTATCTCACTTGAACTTGCTTCTTCAAACTGTGTTCCATTCCTGACTTTTCTAGTTTCTGCCTTTCTGCTCCTATAATTCTTCCATCTGATCAGTACCTGCTGTTTTCTAGGAGGGCAAGTAATTAGTCAGGAAAACTAATTTGTAATAAATTATTCATAGAGGCTGATGTTAATAGGGGAGTGCTAATCTCCCAATCTTTGCTCCTTCCCTTTGTTTTATTCCAACAAAACCCTTTTTTTCCTAATTATATAAAAATCATACATGCTCAATATATGAAAAATTAGTAAAATATAAATGAAGTAAGAAAATAAAAATCACCCTTCCTTCTAAAAACCATACCACTGTTAATTCTGCTATGTCTTTCCATTCTTTTTACTATGTATATGTGTATATATACTTATGTTCTAGGTTGAATTATGCTCCAGAAAGAAAAAAAAAATTTAGTTCAAATCCTAACTCGCAGTACCTGTAACTTTATTTGGAAATAGAGTTTTTGCAGGTGTAATCAAGTTAAGATGAGGTCATGCTGGATTAGGATGGGCCTTAAATCCAATGACTGGTGTACTTATAACAGGAAAATGTGGACACAGACACACAGGGAAAAATGTGAAGATGGAGGCAGAGATTGGCATTGGGCTACCACAAGCCAAAGAACACCAAGGATTATCAAACCAGAAGCTTGCAGAGGCAAGGAAGGATTCTTTCCTAGAGACTTTGGACTTCATTCCTCCAGAACTATGAAAAAATAAGTTTCTGTTATTTTAAGTCATGCATTTTGTGGTAATTTGTTATGGCAGCCCTAGGAAATTAATAGAATATATATTTTAAAAATGGGATCCTCCAATACATATTATTTTATAATCTTTGTTTCTAGTTTAACAACACATTACTGATGTTTTTCCATGGCACTATTTCACTTTAACAATCCTTATAACAGGTAACTTGGTTTCCATTTATTAGATAAAAAATGATTTATTTAGTCAGTATCACATTGTTAGATATTTGGTTTATTACCAAATGCTACTCTTATAAATAATGTTGCCGTTAACATTCTTTAATACCATAGTTATTAAAGTCACTTCTATTCCTAGAAATCTGGACAGGCTGTATAATTTGTGCTCCTATCAGCAGTGCATGAATGTACCTATTTCCCATCAACAATGGATTTTATAATTTGAAAAAAAATTCTCAATTTTATAGGCCAAAAAAATAGTATAGTGTTTTGTTTGCCTGTGAACAATGCCTGGGACATAGAAAGACCCAATAAATGTTGGCTGTTGTTTCACTGTATTATTGTTAATACAGAATCTATCCTTTCCCCATTTAATCTAAAATGTCCATTTCATCATTTACTAAATTTTTATATGCACTGAGATGTGAACTTTCTGATTTAGTCCTGAATTTGTACCCCTGCTCTCATAATCTATACACATATAATCAAAAGAGACCTATAAAGTATTCTTGACTTAAGCCACTGGAGTTACTCTAGTGGTATACATTTTAAGCAAGAAAGCAAGAAACCATGGGAAAAAACTGGAGCAGACAAGTTTTTATCATATCCCCAAAATCACAACTGCTATCACAACCTAACCTTGGTTTCTTCACATACCAAGAGGTAGCCTTGTCTTCTTCTGTCTCCTTTGAACAGGAGCCTCTAGATGCTCTTCGAGTTCTTTAGTTGGGGGCTCACTACCCTCAGATGGCCTATGAACAGCAGTCTGAGCAAGGCCTTCCAAAGAAGCACTAGCTACAGAAAAACAGAGTAGAAAACAATGGGATAACTTGAGCAGAGACTGAATCTTAAAAAGATGGGGAAAAGGTAACTACAATGTTTCCTATACAATAACTCCTTCTCTTTCAGAATTAATTGTGCCCCAAATTTTGATTTCTTCCCTCCCCACCTATAACTCTGGACTTTAAGTTGAAAAGAAATAAATGAGGGAATAAGAAAGGCTGAGGAAAAAAATGGGGGGAGTTAGAAAGAAAAGCATAAGGTGGGAGGAGGAGAAATGGCCTCAGAACATTTAGAACTTTCAAAAATGTGAAAACATAGTAAAAACTGAAACCATAGAGAACTGTCTTACTTGTCTACTGGCCTTAAAAATTTTTATCAGTCTCTATATAGTTTATTCATTCATTAATAAATTAATACATGACAAAGTCATCATGGATAATTGGAGTTAACACATAATTTATAACTCTCTTCATTTGGTCATTCATTTCAACCTCTTCCCTTATGAAATCTTATTATGGAATTTCAACATGTTTTGGCAGATTTGAATTTTACCTTTTTCACAAAAAAAAGAAATAGAAATATATTAACAAACAAATGAAAAAATGCTTAACCTTACTAGTATTTACAGAAATGTGAACTAAAATAAGCTACTTTTTGCCTAGTAAATGAACAAAAAAAATTAAAAGATTGATATTGTCCGATGTTAAGGATTTAGAGAACGTGACACTCTGAAGCTCCATTGGTGGTAAGAAAATAACTGAAGCTTCCTTGAAGACAATTTAGCAGAATCTATCATATCAATAATGCATGTGTCCTTTATTTAGTAATTCCACTGCTACCAATCCACTGTACAGATATACTCTTTCTTCCCTACCACCCACTTTTTTATGCAGAAGAATTGTAACATTGTTTAAAGTAAAAAGTTTGAAATAACCCAAATGAACAACAGACCAGTGATTATGGTACATTCTTATCATGT